CACATACAGTAACCCGGGGTGAAGTTGGAAAGCGTGGGTTCTGGAAATCTCCCCAAATGTTGGTCCAATGCTCTGGGGTACTTGTACCGTCCAGGAGGAACCATTCCAGCTTCGCTGGCTTCCAAATTAATCCAAAAATAGATTATGTTTACTTTCAGCTATGTTAGGAAAGATTAAGAAAAAAATACTTGAAAGTTCAGTTATCTCTCAATAGATGGAGAAACAAATAATAAGGAACAATACTTGGAAGTTCAATTATCTCTCAATAGATGGAGAAAATATACTTGGAAGTTCAGTTATCTCTCAATATATGGAGAAAAAATACTTGGAAGTTCAGTTATCTCTCAATAGATGGAGAAAAAATACTTGAAAGTTCAGTTATCTCTCAATAGATGAAGACTTACTGAACTATTATTAAAAAGATGCACGTTAAACGTTGAATAAATGTAAAAGTGTGTTTTCTTATAGCAAAGTCGCATTGGGCTATCTGCTGTGTCTACCGAGGGGAATCGAACCACCTGATTTTAACGTTGTAAATCCGTAGACTTATCACTGTCCCAGTGGGGGACAAACATAAAAGTACCATTGTACAATTAGCTAATAGGAAAATTGGGTTTGCAGGTGAGCAAACACGCATGCACAGACTGAGTGACACACATTATAGTTTTAATTACATAGATAGCAACAAACAAAAGAGCAAAAACAAGCCAAAAAAGCTTTGATAGAAGAAAAGAAAAATGCAAAACAAAGACAAAAAATGTCTGATGAAAAGAAACAGGAATTGCGGGAAAAAGAAAGAAAGAATTTGCTATGCAAAACGTCCCCCCAGTGGCACAGCATTATTTCTGCAGACTTACAATGCTAGAAACAGGTTTCGATAGTGGTGATGGGCAGAGCACAGATAACCTATTATGTAGCTTTGTGCTTAACTTCAAACAAACAAAAACAATGCAAAACGAAAAGAAACAATGTCCGAAAAACAGAAAGAGAAAGTTCGGGAATCTCATTGGACAGATACAATTAATAAATAAATTAACTAAATAAATACTTTACAATACAAAGGAAATAATCACTTGCACTGTCCTATATAAATAAAATATCAGCATACCTCTACAAGAAGTTTCGAAAAGACTAACTCATAAATATAACTTTAATAAAACGAATATATTCATTTTCATCCCTGGAATGAAAATTAAACACAAGTGAAAATTTTTTATAACGAACCCACTTTGCCAGGAAAAAAAATAACAAAATAAACTATAATAATTGCCCATCCTTTCATATAAATGAAATAGGACAGAACTTGAGCATCAGGTTAAAAGAAAACCAAAACCTCTTCACCAACTCAATTAACATATTGTTACGACAGCGGAAGTCACGTGACGCTGGTAACACGTGATGAGTTTCTAGAAAATTCACGAAGAAACGAGATGTACGCTTTTTGTATATATAAGACCGGTAAGAAGTGACGGCAACAATGGAATTGAATGGCAGACAGAGATAGAGATGGACAATTGAGTCAAGCGCGTGAATCGTTCGTTGTGAATTATAGCGTTTGTCCAAATTAAAATGACTGTGGAAATTAAGTGTATTGCAAAGTTGTATTGAGAAAGAATAAACTAGTTTTATTTAAGAAAGGCCTTGTATCGCTGAAGTTTTTCGGAAAGAATTTTTACGGAAAATTAACAAACGAACACAGAGACGTAACAATATAAACAAATAGAACCATTGTTTTTCTGAACAAAATGTCAGGATCTGAAGACGAAAGACTTTCGAAACGTCGTCCTCTACATTTGTAGGTTTCTACAACAAGCAGTTGCTGTCTATTTGAAACTTAGATTCATTATGAATACTCTGCCAAAACAACTTATCAAAGAATAGTTATCATCTTTGTATCCAAGTCTTTGTGAACGAATGTACATGTGGCAATACTATTCTCTATTATAACTTATTAAGTCTGGCTACATATGTGATAAAACACGTGTAAAATTTATTGATAAATGATTTGCTTTTTCATTTTCAGTTCTGTTAGGGTATTCGTTTATTTTCTTATTTTTCTGGCACTTAACTACTGAAATCAAACTAATGTGTGTAATTTTGTTTTAACATTGTAAAACTTGAGTTCTTTTCTTATTATTCTATATTTTATGTATAATGCTCATTCGTCCATGTTAATTAAAGGGCTTTTTCTGTACTTTTGTAATTGGAAGTGTGTCGATATTAAAAGACATTTCTGCTAACTAATCATTTTAAAGATAGGAATTATATTGATGTTAAAGGTTGTGTTGTTTGCCCTGTGTGCGTGAAGTGATGTTTAAGTGTTTTATCCTATCGAGTGTAAGGTACACCAGTTTCTTGGCCAATGTGTAAGATTATTTCGTTGGATCTTAAATTTTAAAGTCAGCAATGGTTATGATAGGCTGAAGATAAATAGAAAGTTCAGATGTGTGATATGAAGATGTATGCCTAATATTTATTATCTGTTTTACTTAATAAAATGAACATGCCAGCTCATCAAACTGATAATAATAATTCATATACTCACGTTTCTAGGAATATTTGTAGTTTTTACAATAGAACGTTGGTCAAGGAATGTGGGTAAGATTTTTCATATTAATTACCTATTGTTTTTGTGTCATTTCCCTATGGTGTGATTTTTTTTTCTTTCTTGTAGCAAAGATTTCTGTAAATTAGAATAAACTATATAAGAGCGGACATTAGTATTTTCCACAAGCAGGTCTGATGGTACTTTGAATGTATATATTCTCAGATATTTTTCTATTTGAATGACCCTCGGTGACATAGGTAGCATATGCGCACTGAAAAGGAAAGCACAATAAAACCTCCTGTATAATGCTGTAGTATTACTCCTTCAGTCTCAAACAGACCAACAGAAACAGTAAGATACAGCTCTCAATCTAGAATGATATACGACTCTCAAATAAAGTGCTGTCGTCTGTTTATGATCAGTTTTCTGATGACTTTGGATTCTAGAAATATAGAGTGATTTTCACGTTATCACAATGGGCTATCTGTGCTCTGCCCACCACGGGTATTGAAACTCGGTTTCTAACGTTGTAAGGCCACAGACATGTCTCTGACTAGCTACCTTCCCTCTAGTATTTCAATGCTAAATTAGGGACGGCTAGCGCAGATAACCCTCGTGTAGCTTTGCGCGAAATAAAAACAAACAAACAATAATACTTTCTATGAAACTCATACATAGCTTTTCGCTTCTTTGCTGTTTCATGCACAGATAGACACTCGAAGTACGGTTCTATTTTATTTAAATAACTACATCGGGGGGCTTCAAACTGGTTTCTTTCACATTTTCTTCTCTGTTGTAGAATAGTTTCCACGACATACCCCTCTCCCCTACCGGTGGCTCAACGGAAAGTCTGCGGGCTTATAACGCTAAAATTCTAGTTTAGGTACCTGCGGTGAAAAGAGTATAGTTAACCTATTGTGTAGCTTTATGTTTAACAACAAAAAATAAAATAAAATCCACGAGCTAATTAATTTTAACTTTATAATAGTTTATACTTGTCAAAAGGGCTTATCTATAAAATTAACGATACATATATAGATATATACATGGTAAGCAGTATGACATACGTATATAACATTTATCGTATTAATTTTAGTATGACTGATGTTAATCTATCTAAATTCCCGTTTTCTGCTTTTAGTTTCACCTCCACAATATGGCAGCCAAAAGTAGAGAACGAATGGTTGGCGTGGATAGAATTTTGAGTAAATTACAGTCTAATATTGAAGCAGGTAATTATTACGAAGCCCATCAAATGTACAGAACTATATATTTTAGGTAAGAGTACCGCTTCTTTTCGATTTTGTATTTTTTGTGCACGTGATTGAAAGTTAACGATTATTGTATAACTGACCTAAGCCTAATTAAACATGTAACCATGTAACTTGTATTATCACTATTATTAATACTAAGGGGTAGGTATAGCTAGCTCTCAGTTACCCAGTAAACTCAAAATATTAAGAGAATTGGTTATTTACTCTTAACTGTCGATAGATATCAGACTAACGTTGGTAAAATACAGTGAACAGCTATTGACGATTTACCATTTTATCAAGAACTGTCAGAAATCATATTAACTGGCATCAGTCAACAAATGAAACCTGGCATTATTCCAACAGTATTTATTATTATTAATAATAATAATATTATTATGTTAAAAACTATATCTTACATTTCTTGTACATTATGGCTCTAGTGACATGAATTTCCTCAAAGCTGAGGCCTACATGGTTGTGGCTAATGGTATTTTGGTCTTCTACAGTTTGATATCCATAAATGAATTAAATATTATATTTTTCAGTAAATTTCATAATTTTATAGTTAGTACTTTCATGAATCATTGACAGATTACCAAAAGCTTTTGATGTTTCTTGTTGCTATTTGATAAGACTGCATGAGAAAGGTATGTTGTGTGTTTACACAAACTTAGTGCAGTGGTAATTAGTTTTAATATTTCAGAAAATGTACAATTTTGAACATAGTTTGTAAAAATATATCAATACTAGGAATGACTAAAAGATGTATTAGGTGTCACAAAAACTTTACAAAAATTCTAATTTTGAAATATTCCAGTATAAATGCTTCTCAACATGAATACCATGAGGACACTCAAGATAATTTTAACAAGGTGCATAATATCATTTCATTGAAAAGATTTGTGTATAATATCTCAAATATTGAATATCTGTTAGAAGCAGGTATATTTTGACAGGCAGTATTATGGCTGGTATATTTCATTTCAAAATTCAAACATTTTTGTGTGTGTCTGGTACCTAGATGGCACTTTGACATCCATGATTATATAAGTATGATTGGTCATTTGTATGTTCGACACGATTTCGTTTTTGTTTTAGATATGGAAGGAATGTTGTTGGTTGTGTGTTACGAGGAACAGCAGTTGAATTTATACAAATTATTAAAGTCTTAAGTTGCAGTAGAAATCCAAAGATCTGTTCATCTAGTAGAATCACTTTAATTAGCGTTCATTCTGGAATCCAGATAAACTGTCTGAACAAATGAACACCTGATCTTTCCAACTGTCAATGAAACTATTATAAACTACGTTAATGAATTACAACAGCCTAGTTGAATCAGATATTGAACATACTATTGTAATTTTTCAATGACATCAACCAGTATTTCCCCCTGTTATCATATAACCAGCTATTATTTTTACTTCCTGAGTTTGAAATAGGTTACAGCAATTCCAAATGTTGTCAAACTGCTGATTTCTTTGATCAAATATGTACTTATTTATTTCACTTCTCTCAACAAAACCATTTAGATGAGAGTTACTACAGTTTGCAGTGTTTTATGTAACTTTAAACAAAAACTATGTCATGTAACCATTAGTAAGAGTATGGTAATCAACATGAATCAGTACTTATATTACACATCACCCTCTGAAACATTAGTGTTTATTGGAAACTGTACCCGTGAAAATGGTCTCGTAGCAATTGGCAATTAAAACCACTACTATTGTAATATTGTGCATTGAGTTATGTAGATTTTACATTTATATAATAGATATTAATGTCTAAAGGTGAAAAGATTACGATTGACGTTCCTCCTCTAATATTTCTGTATTTTGTTTGTAATTTTTTAACTATTAGGAACATAAATGAAGACAATTAACTGTTAGTTTCAATTAAATGTTTATTATTTGGTAAAAGCTGTGAATGAAAGTTGCTACAACCTAGAGTTTATTGTCCAGTACCCAGTGTTTACTGTACAGCATTAAATTTGCTTCTGTATAGTCAGTATTTTTTGTATTTAATGAAAGGCAATAATAAAAGTGCATAGAAATGTTGAAATATTTGAATCAAAAACAAAGAAACTTGTATGATACTTCATGTATAGTATGAGATAAGTTTATACTGCGTTAGGAGTGAGTCCTATGGGATTTTAGTAACCTTGTAACTTTTCACATTAGTATGGTCATTCATACAGGTTTTGCAAGTTAGACAATGTAGTGTAAATTGTGAAAGTTAATATTGATCCCTATGCATGTGTTTAACTATTGTTTTTTTTTTCTTCATGAAATAATGTGTAGGTATCTATCACAGAAGAAGTACAAGGAGCTGTTAGACCTGCTGTACGAAGGGTCGAGTACCCTTCTGAAGCTCTGTCAGGTATACACTATATACGCATCAAGATATAAAGTTGACAAGATATAAAGTTTTAATATTTAAATCAATAACTTTGGCATTGTTTGGTGTAAAAATACATAGTTCTAAGTATAATATGGTTCCCTATTCTTTAAACAGTTTCAGTTTGGTTGTTTAACTCCAACTTTTTACCATTGTGGCTATTACAGCTACACTTTAAACAGTTGTCTTCAGGTGTAATTGTTATAATTGATATCTACAGACCATGAAGTAAGATGTAATTGTTCTAATTGATATCTACAGACCGTGAAATAAGGTGTAATTGTTCTAATTGATACCTAGAGGCCATGAAATAAGGTGTAATTGTTAATTGATATCTACAGACCATGAAGTAAGGTGTAATTGTTCTAATTGATATTTACAGACCATGAAATATAGTGTAATTGTTTTAATTGATATCTACAGACCATGAAATATAGTGTAATTGTTCTAATTGATATTTACAGACCATGAAATAAGGTGTAATTGTTCTAATTGATATCTACAGGCCATGAAATATAGTGTAATTGTTCTAATTGATATCTACAGACCATGAAATAAGGTGTAATTGTTCTAATTTATACCTACAGACCATGAAGTAAGGTGTAATTGTTCTAATTGATATCTACAGACCATGAAATATAGTGTAATTGTTATAATTGATATCTACAGACCATGAAGTAAGGTGTAATTGTTCTAATTGATATCTACAGACCATGAAGTAAGGTGTAATTGTTTTAATTGATATCTACAGACCATGAAATATAGTGTAATTGTTTTAATTGATATCTACAGACTGTGAAATAAGGTGTAATTGTTCTAATTGATACCTACAGACCGTGAAATAAGGTGTAATTGTTGTAATTGATACCTATAGACCATGAAATATGGTGTAATTGTTCTAATTGATATCTACAGACTTTGAAGTAAGGAGTAATTGTTCTAATTGATACCTACAGACCATGAAAT